GGAGGAGGAGGAGGAGGAGGAGGAGGAGGAGGAGGAGGAGGAGGAGGAGGAGGAGGGGGAGGAGGAGGAGGAGGAGGAGGAGACCTTCACATTTCATGGGAGGGCTTCTTCCCCGAGAGGGGAGTGGTGAGCTCGCGACTGCGGCCTCGCGGAGACCGCGGGCACGTGCCCTACCGGAACACGCGGCCCCAGAAGTAAGAGGAGAGGAGACGGGTACTCCAGATTTCGTAATAAAGGGAGAGGGGGTCTCATTTCGGGGGGGGGTCTCTTCCAGGCTATCTTGGAGGGCCTGGGGGGGTCTGGGGACGATGTTTTGGAGGGTTCTCCCACAGGGGGGGGGGTCTGAAATGGCTTGTCTTGGAGGGTCCAGACCCCCTCCGTTTTATTACAAAATCTGGAGTAAACAATGCCCAGCCTTGCCCACCCTTCACACGTTAGGGGAAAAGGCTTCTCCACGACGGGAGTGGGCGGCTCGCGACTGCATAGTAGCCTCTCGCAGTCCGCAGACGGCCTGCCCTACCGAACCACGCGGACCCGAAAAAGAGGAGAGGAGAAAAAGGAACAAGTGCCCAGCCTTGCACACCATTCACGGTGGTTTTCGAGAGAAGTGGGAAGCTCGCGACTGCATAGCAGCCTCGCGCAGTTCGTAGACAGTATGCCCTACCGAACAACGCGGCCCCCGAAGTATGAGGAGAGGATCGGGGGACGTGGATACGTTGCCCTCATCCTGCGCACATGTCATCATGCTAAGCTTGTCTCTGCAGTAGAGAAGAGAAGCCGTTTGCACTTTTATCGTTCTGAGCCGTTATCTGAAGGCGAACGCGTTCAACACATGCCTCGAAGGCATCGACGCCTCGGTGTGCTCATCCTCTCCTCGCAACCCTCCGACGGCAAACCCACCGCGCCCAAGGTGCTTGACGCAGAAGTTCAACTACGAGGCGCCCTGTTCAATGCGTTCACGAACGACGTTGAGTTCTATGCCCCCAAGCTTTAGGCACTGCGGGTGCTCGTCGCGCGCGCCCTGAGCTTGGAATCGGAGACCGTCTGCTCCCGTCTCCTCCGCCCACGGTGGAGGCGGCGACAACCGAGGCCCGCGCCACAGGGCAGAGCAGGAGCAGCACGTCATCAGCTGCATGTTGGCGGTAATTCGTCCGAGAGGGCAGCGAAAAGTGCAGAAGCGGCAACGCGATCAGCTGCAACGCTGGGGGCGGCTCGTGCGAGAAGGTGTGCAGTGGCGGCGGCATCGGCAGTGGCCAGCGCACCATGCCAGCACAGGAGCAGCACGCCATCCGCTGCAACGCCGGGATAACAATGCTTGCGGCTCGGCAGGCAGAGGCGGCCGAGAGGCGGGCACTGCGAGGAGCAGGGTGCGAGAGCGGCATGTGGTCAGCTACAACGCCGGGGTTGGGTCGTGTGAGAGGGCGTGCAGCGGCAGCAACTGGCACTCCGAGTGGTGCGCAGCAGAGGCCCATCGGCTAAGCGCCAGGACCAGCCCCTGCGAGAAGCAGTGGCAGCATCTGGCACTGCGAGGAAGGCACATTGCGGTTGATGTTTCAGACACAAGCACGTTCGGGTCCTCCTCATCCTCCTGTTCATGCTCCTTCCCCTCCTCCTCCTCCTCCTCCTCCTCCTCGTCCTCCTCCTCCTCGTCCTTCCCTCCTCCTCCTCCTCCTCCTCCTCCTCCTCCTCCTCCTCATGCTCCTCCTCCCCCTCCTTCTCCTCCTCCTCCTCCTCCTCCACGTAGGGAGACCGTGCAATACTTTCGGGCAAGCACGTGGTGGGTGATGTTTCGGCTGCGCGCGCGACCGTTAGAATGTCCGTGGGAGGGTCCACGCCCGACCACGGTGAGCATCTACAGTCGGCCTTGATTGGACAGGACACGCGAGAGGACACAAGACCCTTCCGAGGGCCACATCGCCATAGGAGTGTAAGAATGCACGTGTCGCGAGGCACAGGACACAAGGGTACCCTTGAGCTGGCAGGGACGACCTACTAATCCAGGCCGACAGTATGGTAAAAGGACCCCAGAAAGCTTTGACAGGTCCCTTCTGCACGGTCGAAGTAGGATCCAAGGACACCTGTTTACCCTGTTTATCCAACGATCCATCCATCCCACCACTCTTGTCATTCGCCCCCATGCCCCCTCCCCCTGCGTCACCCCGTCGCTAATTGGTTTCCTCTCCTCGATCCTGGGTCATTGTAGAGTCGCCAGGGGCCCAGGGACATGCCAGCCCACCTCATGTGTTTATCCCCCTCGTTCGGCTCCTCCTCTTAATCATTACCACATCTCTGCGACATATCTGCGAGTACCTTCAAATAAATGCCCACCCGAGCTGCCTGCAGCTCGGACGTAATCCAACCAGCTTTACAAACATCCTAGAACAACGTCCGAGCTGCCTACACGACCGATCGTACCGAAACTGCACTGTACAAGGGCCTCAACACTTTTTCACAGAATCGCAGTGGAGTTCTGTACCCTCTGAGGTCGAACATCACGTTTAATAGCTGCTCGGGGAGTGCCTGGAATTCTGATGTGAAGCTGTGAAAAACATCCCACAACTCACACGGAGTCCTACTGCCCCTGCCCACACTTCTGATACACTATCATCAGCTTTGCCTAGAGCTCCAGTGAAATCGTATCAAGGCTGCCCACAGGTCGAACAAAACCTTGGACAACCTTGCAGTTGTGCCGCGCCCGCGAGGGCGTCTTTTGTTAGACTCGCTCAGAGCCCGTACTGAAGGGGCGCGTTGGATGGCGATCCAGAATGAGCGCGCCGCAAACTTTTCGGCATGAGCTGCTTCGGGGACGATAGATGGGGGGGGGGGGAAAGACACGTGCCCTCTTCGGGCCCTCAAGGCCACAGGGCCCCGTCCGGGCAGCCATCGCTGCCCCCCTTCCCCCCCCCCCTATTTATCGCCTCCCCACTGCGCGGCTTCTGGGACCAGCGCCCCGCGGCGGCCGGCCGCGCGCGAGCGGGCGGCATACTGCCCGGCCCGGGCGCGGCGAAGACTCCGCGTGAACGCGATGCGCGATGCGGTCAAGACGCTGCAGCAAGGACCGCGTTGAGCGAGGGCGTGATGAGCAAGACAAGGACCCCAGCCCATTGGAAGGCGACCTAAGTTTGAAGGCCCGAGACTTCTGCAGATGCATCAGGCCGCGCCGCCCAGATTTATTCCCGATGCAAAGACGGGGTCCTCAGCGAGGCCACGCCTTCAATCTGGTATTAGGGTTAGGGGTTCTGCTACTTGGCGGCGCGCATAAGGGGGTAGGGGCAGGGGGGGACGGCTTCTTAGAAGGGGGCTGCTTCTCATGAGGCGCCGGCCTTACATCTGTAGAAGGCCCGCGCCTTCCAAGAAGCAGGGGTGCTTCTAAGAAGCCTTCCCCCGTCCCCTCTGCGCGTGGCTGAGCTATCCTCGATGAAGCAGGGGCTGCGGTTGTCGGGCCGTTCCTTGGCTGATTCTGGCTGATGTCAGTGAGGCCACGCCTCCAGTGGTATTAGGGTTAGGGGTTGTCCTATCCTCGAGGGAGGGGGGCTGCGGTTTCCGAGCCGTTCCTTGGCTGATGTCGGGGGGCGCACCTGTGGCCGAGGCTTGCCGTGGCAGGAAAAACACCCTACTCCAGATTTCGTAATAAAAGGGAGGGGGTCTGGACCCTCCAAGACAAGCCATTTCAGACCTCCCCCGTGGGAGAACCCTCCAAAACATCGTCCCCAGACCCCCCCAGGCCCTCCAAGATAGCCTGGAAGAGACCCCCCCCGAAATGAGACCCCCCTCCCTTTATTACGAAATCTGGAGTACGGACTTTCAACGACGGAGGGGCGCAGCAAAGCTGCTGCAAGAAGGAACGACAGAATGCGGAACGACGCGCACTTTGGCGCCGTGAACGCCAGGGTGTGCGAGGAGAGCTCGAGGAACCACCACGGAGTGGCCCAAAAAACGGCGAGCCCACTCCGGACTCAAAGCGGTCCATATTTGAGCGTCGTGCCTGTATTGTCGACCATTGAGCCGCGCAAAAGAACGCTAACTGATACTTTCGCCGCGCAGCACCTCCCAATGATCTTCTGGAAAATCCGTTCACGCCCGTTTGCGTACCGTGCTCGTTTCTCTCCCTGCCGAATACAACGCGGGCCAGGAATGAGTGCGTCCCGCTCGACAGGTGCGAGTGAGCGCCGGTGCTAGTCCACGTCGCGGCGGCATCATTGGTGCGTATGCTGCACGAGGGAGGGTGGGAGTGAGCGGAAGGCCCCAGTGACTCGTTCGACCTGATTCATCTGGACCAGCACTCCACCGTTTTTTTGATGTTCTTCTTTTGTTTGCTCTCTCTCTCTCTCTCTCTCTCTCTCTCTCCCAAGGGAACGAGCCCCGAAAAGTCACAACGACACGTACGCGCCCGCTCGGCCGCCCGGGCGGCGCCCGGGGCCCCGTCCCCCTGGCCTCCTCCACGAGAGACGCGCCGCCCGCCACGGGCGGCCACCTCCCCCCCCCCGTCCTTCTCTGCCCCCTCCTGTGTAGAATGAGCCGAACTAGTGTTTGCGTGCCCGGTATAGGAGAGGGACACGGATGGACGACGACAGGGACGAACCCTGTGACGAGGCGGAGGATGGGTGAGCACGTAGGCCATGAAGCGGAGGCAATATGCATAGATGTGCATTTGTGGCATCTGTGAGATGCATGCATACCTACACACATATATATATGTATATAAAAATGAATAGAGAGAGAGTGAGAGAGAAACCAAATAGGGAGAGAGAGAGAGAGAAAGAGAGACAGAGAGATAGACAACACAAAACGAAAACACCAGCATGAATCAAGTAACAAAGACATACAAAAGAAAGACACGACGACGAGGAGGGAAGGGAATGATGAGGACGAGGACGGGGGGCGAGAGGGAGGGAAGACCGAGAGCAGGGCAACGACAAGTCCGAAGACCACGAGGACCACGACGACGACGATGTCGGCCACAGCGGCGGCGCCGTGGCCGCTGGGGCAACGCGGTCGGCCTCTTCGCGGCGTGGGCGGCCTCCTCGCGGCCCGCACCTCCTCGGCCTCCGCCTGGGTGTGCGGCCCCTCGGCGGGGGCTGCCGCCTGGGCACAGGCCGCCGCCCCGGGGTGGCGCCCACGGGCAGTCTGTATGTCCACGTCCAGTGCGTCTCTGAAGGGGCCCAGAGTATGTCCACGTCCAGATGCGCACAAAAGTCTCAAGATTCCCACATCTTCCCACATGTTCTGGATGTTCGTCTTCTCCCCCCCCACTCCCCATGTTTTCCGCTATTTTCTGTGGAATCGATGATTCGTCGTGTCTGCGTGTTTTTCCCTCCTGCTGAAATATGCACGTCCACATCCAGTGCGTCTTGGACTTTCTCCGAAGCGACGCCGCAAGGCCGAGGCGCACTGAGCATGGATGAAACATCGAGCCTCTGGAGGCCAGAGTTTTGTCCACAGCCAGTGCGCCCCGGGCTCCTCGGGGAGAGAGCCCGGGACTCCAGGCTGCAATGGACTGGGCATCGCTCGGACGTCCATTCCCTGTGCTTGTTTCGGCTTCGTGCGTGGCTTTTTCGCCAAATGATCAAGGATGCTCCTCGATGGTCCTCGCCGAAGGAAAAATGCCGCAGGCCTTCCCAGAAGGCGGCAAGGTTTCTGAGAAGCCCTCCCGCCTTCTGGGAAGGAGGAGGAGGAGGAGGAGGAGAAGGAGAAGGAGGAGGAGGAGGGGGAGGAGGAAGAGGAGGAGGAGGAGGAGGAGGAGGAGGAGGAGGAGGAGGAGGAGAAGGAGACGTCCGAGCGATGCCAAATGGATATGGCCACGAACCCTGCCCGGAGCGTCGGGACGCCGGCTCGCCGGCGCTCGGACGTCCAGGCTCCGTGCACGTGTCGGTCTCGTGCGCCCCTGTTTCGCAGGATGGTCCAGGATGCCTCTCGAGGGTCCTCGCCGAGAAAAGAGGCACGCGTCCGAGCGATGCTGAGCAGGAGGATCGGGTCGGGCAAAAGCGGGGGATAGCAAAAGGGGGGTTTGAGAATCAGCTGACGTAGCTGATTTTCCCGGCGCCTCCCGGCGCCGGAGGCGGCTATGTATCGAGGAATGGGCCCCTCGGCGAGGCCGAAACCAGCTGCATGCAGCAAACTTCGTAACCTCCCCTTCCCAATCCCCCCCTTTCGCCCGGCCCGAGAGGAGGAGGACTGACAAAAGGAAGAGGGACAAGGACAGGGTGGCAGGAGCAAGAGGGGGCCCGCGCACATGCTGCTCCGTCGGGCGCACGTGCCTCTGAAAGGCTCCTGCAATCCAGAAGCACTGCCACGCACGCTGGCGCAAGGCGCAGAGTCGGAGCACCGGGCGCAACAACTACCAACACATAGCCGCGGGCAAAGCTGCGTACAGAAACTGCCTGCAGAAGCCGATCAAACGCCCAGCACAGACCAAGGAAAGCAAATCACTGCACGTGCGCACAAGCTGGAGTGTAGAGGCGCGTCGCGCGTGAAGGTCCTGAGACCTTTCCCAGCAACATTGTCACACATCGCAGCGAAGGCCAGTACCAAATGTTCGACCCCGTGTGGATCAATCTGATTTAAATTATGATTATGGTTATGATTATGTCTATGCTTCTGGTTATGATGATGATGGTGATGATGGTGATGCGGATGCTGACGACGACGACGAGGAGGATAATGCTGATGCTGATGCTGATGATGAAGATGGTGATGATTATGATGCTGAGGATGACGAGGATGATGATGCTGCTGCTGATGATGACGATGCTGATGATGATGCTGATGCTGCTGCTGATGAAGATGATGATGATGATGAGGATGATGATGATGATGATGATGATGATGATGATGCGTATGGATCAACACCGTTGATGGGGAAACCTCACGGGCTGATGTCGTGCAGCGGGGCCGCCGCGCTGGCAATCCCCAAGGCGCCCGCCTAGCTGCCGAAACACAACGCCGCGGAGTTGCGGCCGAGCTGAAACACTGGGACACGGCGGCCTCGGGCGCCAGATCTCCGCGAGCAGCCGCCGAGCCCTCCTCAGACCGTGAGGAACGCCACCGCTCGTTGAACAGGGCGGCCTCCGCCAGCCACTCATCCGGCACGTGCTTCTGCATGGCGCCCCTGCCCCACGCGGAGGCGTCGAAGACGGTGGGCCGCGGGTCCCAGCGGGCCCCCAGCTGCCGCCGTGCCAAGGGCACCAGCGCGGCAGCCAAGCGCAGCTCCTGCCGCACACTGTCCCAGAGTCGGCCTGACCTGTCTCTAAAAATCTCGACGTGCGCGTAGCTCGCCGAGAGGGCGCTCAGGAGCTTCCTGCGAATCAGGGCTCGAAACATGCAATGGCTGATCACGCTCGACAGCTCGCGGCCGCTGACAAACTTCCTGTCGGCCAAGGCCAGCAGGCCCAGCTGGAGTCGCCAAGCTGACCGCGGCGCCACCTCCACGGCGGCCTCGAGGTCCGAGAAACGCCGGCCCAGCGTCTCACCGCCAGCCCAGCCCCCCAGCTCGGCGGGTGTGCGGGCAGCCCAGCATCCTGCAGCGCCTGGATGGCGGACAGGGCGCGGTCCTTCACATCCTCCGCGTCCTGGCTCAGCGAGATGAAGTTGTCCACGTACTCCTCGTGCAGGCCTGGGACCAAGGGGGGCAGCGGCGCAGAGTCACGAAGCCAATCGTGATCTCCCATCTTCGTCGAGCTGTCGATGATGGCCTCATGCAGCGAATGGCAAGCCCAGAGGGCCTGCGTCCAGCCCATCGGCAGCACCCTCAACACCGGCACGACACGGTCCTGCGAGCACACGGCCTCGCCCTCGACGCTCGTCACGTTCACCATGCCAGCCCGCGCAGGAGCCAGGCCGAAGTGGGCGCGGAGGTCGCTCGGCAGCAGCATCGTGTAGAAGGCGACTTTGACGTCGGCGCCCCCGACGATGATGGGCGGCCCCTCGTCGGCACGAGCCGTGCTGAAGGCCTGGCCCGTGGCGAGCTCTGCAGAGTCGGGCTCATCGAACACGCAGTTCGCGAGCCTTGCGTATACAATTACTCTCTGCTCCCCCGACTCCTTCCAGACCGAGAACGCGCCCACCTCCGTCTCCGCCGAGCGCCGGTACTCGATGGGCCCTGCAGCTTCGGCGCGCCGAAGGAAGGCGGCGTAGACTCGCGGCCGTTGAAGAAGTACAGGGTCCCAATGCGGGCGACTGACGCCCGCCTCCAACCTCTTGATCTCCGCTTGCTTTCTCGGCGAGAGCTTCTCCAGCTGACTCCAAGTCCACGGGCTCGAAGCGGACGGGCGGGGGCGCGAGGTTGCGCACGTCGAACGGCGCGACGACCGACGGCTCGCCATCGCATCGCCGCGATCCCCGGAGCTCGCCCAAGGCTCCCGAGGGCTCCAAGTCGGGCGGCGGCGGACCGAGGTGCGACCAGGCCTCGCGGACCCGGGACACGCACTCGGCCTGAGCGGCCATCAGGCGGGGAGCACGATCCTCTCTCGGCTCGCCAACGCCGCAGTAGAGGCGGATGGTCTCCGTCGTCCCAGGCTGCAAGTGGGGCCGACGCTGAACTCGCCGAAGCACTGAACGACAAGGTGGCACCGAATTAGAATCCTCCTCGGTGGCAAGGGCCTCGAGAAGGATGGGCAGGATGTCGCGCTGGCGGCTATCGCCACGGGCGCGCATCCTCGAAAAACTCCTCGAAGATGCCGGGCGACGGTCGGAGCCCTCCGCCGCCCAGCCAGCCCGCATCACCCCTGCTCCTGCTGGCTCTTCGGGGCTCTGCCCGGCTGCTGATGCGAGACGTGCAGGCGACGCTCCTCCCTCGCCTTCCTGACCTGCTTCATGACCGACGCGTCCCGCTCCACCTCCTTCGCGACGTAGTCGAGGAGGTCCGGGGCGATCATCGCCTCATCCGTGTCGCGGTGGGCGCTCAGGAAGACGGACGCCTCACCCACGGGGCCAATCCGGTCCTGGAACCCTCCGCCCTTGCCCTGCTTGCCCTTGCCCTTGCCGCTGCCGGCGGCGTCCTGAGCCACATGCTCGACGAGCTGAGCGTGGCGCATCGCCGCCTCCAGGGCCGCCGCATTGGTCACGTCGAGGCCGTCGCGGCAGCCCGCCTCCTCCAGCATCCGAAGGATCACCCCGTGCGCGTCCACGCCCCGGTCGGTCTTCGTGAGCCCGTAGACCTGCTTGAAGAACAGATGGTGGTCGGTGGGGCCACCGCCTCGCCTGTTGATGAAGGCAGCGCACCAGGCCACTGTCCTGGGACCTGAAATCGACCAGTCGCTGAACTGAACCACCGAGAACATCATCGCCACGTCGCGCCATGGACGGCGACGGCGGGCTGCGGGCGAGCCCTCGGGCACCTCCACCATCTGCAGGTCCAGAACGCGCGCGTCCGAGCCTGGCGGCGCGGTTGGCCCCTCCTCCTCGGGTCCTCCCGCCGGCGGCGGGCCCGCCCTCGGCCAGGATCCCCGCCAGCAGCTTCAGGGCGCCTCCTGGAGGAGGCACCGCGGGGCGACCGTTGGCCCTCTCCCGCGCCACGTAGATCTTGCTCGCCGACCCCACGGCCTCGGCCTCCCGGGCCGCCAAGTCTGCCGCCCCCAGGTCGGCCCCGAAGCGGTAGCACTCCGCCAGAGGAACGCCGCCAGGAGGAGGCCAGCGGCGGTCCGAGAACCGCACGGCGGACACGTCCTGCTGGCTGTCGAGGTCCAGCAACATCTCGCTGTAGACGTCGTCGTCTGGCGTATACACCAGCACGGTAGTCTCCGACGACTCCACCACCCCCAACACTCGCCGTTGGTGCCATATGCGAGGCGGGGCTCCGTGGTTGTACAGCACGAAGGCCCACGCCCTCAGCCGATGGCTGAGCTCCACCATCCTTCGGCGCCGGCTGCACCACCACCCGCGTCGGCGTCAGCCACGTCCCCAGCGCCAAGCCGGTGAAGAAGAAGCACCCCTCGCAGAGCAGCCACGCCCACGACCCCAGCCCGCCGCTGGACAGCGGCGAGGGCGGGTTGGGCGGAGCCCCAGGGCACGCTGGGCACTGGGGGCAGGGCGGGCAGGCCGGCACAAACGGACAGCGCGAGAGGCAGAGAAGGCTCGACTGCCCGCCCACCTGCGCCAGCCCGGCCAGGGCGCCCGGCAGCAGCCCTGCCATGCACTGCTCGGAGCCTGGTCCGGGAAAAAGCTTGACCGAAAGGGGTTACAGACACAACAATTCTGCAACGGCGCGGCAGCAGTCAGGCGAGGGGCCGATGGACACATGAGGTAAACTATGTAGTATGGGTTCCGAACCCAAGAGCTTGGAATATATCCTGACGCTGAACCCCTAAGCCGCCGAATACAAATGTGCAACCGCAACAAATGATCGCGTGCAATTTGCTGTCTTGGAATTCCACGGATGGAGAGTAGAGGGGAAGGAGGATGCGGATGAAAAACATGGGGGGCGTCGACGATGGCGGGAAGGAGACGGAGGAAGAGACTGCAAGAGTCGGAATGAGGGGGGCGGGGGAACGAGAGAGAGGGGGGGGGAGGGGGAGGAGGAAGAGGGGAAACTCCCCGGACCTCTCCTTGGGTGCGTCCTGACCAAGCGTCTCAAGGAGAATCCAGCCGTGACGACGAGGCCTCTCCAGGACGCGCAGCTGCATCGGAGTCCTTTTGCTCCTCCTCGGCGAGCAGCAGGAGCAAGAGGCTATCGTTAGGTCGGGCATGTCCTCCTACAGGCGGATTTTGGAAGAGAAGTGGAACAAACCCCGAACATACTCAGAACTGATCCACAAACGATCGAGCAATCGTCCCCCGACTATCTTTTGACTGTTCTGGATGGAATATTCCCCATGTGGTACGTAGATCTTAGAGGGACACGCCCGACTTGAGGCCATCGCGGAGCGAAGAGAGTAGACGGGCGCGTTCCACTACTCGCAAAGTATCTACTCGCAAATGACCTGGATCCGGCGCGGGGGATCTGCGATACTTTGCACCGGAGCAGACCTATGTTTTTCGGACGTTTGCGAGTATCGGGTCGGGCGAAAGGGGGGGATAGCAAAAGGGGGGGGTTCAGAATCAGCTCACGTAGCTGATTTCCCCGGCGCCTCCCGGCGCAGGCGGCGGCTATGTATCGAGGAACGGGCCCCTCGGTGGGGCCGAAACCAGCTGCATGCAGCAGATTTCGTAACCCCCCCTTTCCCAAACCCCCCCCTTTCGCCCGACCCGAGAGTAGGCACTTTGCGAGTGGTGGTTTTTGACCCCAGCGTTGGTTTTTGACACTGCAGGGATCGTTCAACCTTGAACGATCGGCCGCTGCCGCAACGTCCGATCGTTCAACATCGATCGATTCTGGGTCGCCGCCGGCGTTCAACCTTGAACGTCCGCGCTGGGGTCGCCGCTGGTCGACACGACGCAAACCTACCGTAGTGGAACGCGCTGGGTGAGAGAGGACCCGAATTTGATGGCACGATGTTCTTCTCCTCCATTCACGGCGAACGCGGGTGGTCCGGGAGTCCGAACAGGCGGCGGGACTGGTACGACAGGCACCCTTCGAGTATGGGAAGGGGGATGGAAGGACCGGGGGACTCGAGGGCAGTGTGATGCAGGAAGAAGGAAAAGGATATCGCAAAGTGCCAAACCCCCCCTCTCGCCCGACCCGAGAGTAGGAACTTTGCGAGTAGTGGAACGCGCTGGGCGAGAGAGGCCCCCGCCAGCCTCGGCAGCTGCGGCGGCGGCCGCCGCCGCCCGGGCCTCCCCCTCGCCGGCCTCCTGCCGGCGGGCCCTCCCGGCCAGCGGCGGGCCCCCTCCGCCTGCCTCCTCCCCTGGGAAAGAAGCCAGGACGAAGGAGGAGGAGGAGGAGGAGGAGGAGGAGGAGGAGGAGGCGGCGCAGAAGGGGACGAGGAACGTTTGGGGGACTTCTCTTTTTGGGCGTCGCGCCGCCACAGTTTTGGAGACCAGAGCCGGACGAGGGCACAGCGGAAATCTCGGAGACGCCGCGGCGCTGGAGGGTGTGCAGCAGGAGGCCCACCACAGGAGGCCTTCCCCAAGACACCCAACCCCGAGGCCCCAAGAGGTCCCTGGCTCTTCCCCACCCTCCCGTGAGTTGGGTCGTCGTGCTGAATCCGCAGCGCCTCGCGTCTCCTTCCTCCTCCTTCCTCCTCCCCCTCCTCCCTCCTCTCATGTTCCTCCTCACTCTTCCCTCCGCTTCCTCCTCATCTTCCCTTTCCCAATTCCCATCACAACCGCCACCATCATCATCACCACCATCGTCATTATCATCATAGTTTCGGCGCGCCCCTCACACTTTTCGTGGCCTCAGAGGGAGCTCCACCGAAGGCCGCAGTGGCAGGCCTCGCATGCAGCTCCACCTCTTATTCCGGTGCACCCCTCACACGTTTCGCGGCCCCAGAATGCAGTTCCGCCCTCATTTCGGTGAACCCTTTACACGGCTCGTGGCCCCACAGGGAGCTCCGCCGAAGGCCCCAATGGCAGGCCTCGCATGCGTACCCGGGTCCATCTCGGCACACCCCTCACACGTTTCGTGGCACCATAGAGATCTTCACCGAAGGCTCCAGTGGCAGGCCTCGCATGCGTACCGGGTCCATCTCGGTACAACACTGACACGCTTCGTTGCCCCATTGGGAGCTCCACCGAAGGCTCCAGTGGCAGGGTTCGCATATGTACCTGGGTAATTTCGGCACGCCCCTCCCACGTTTCGTGGCCCCATTGGGAGCTCCACCGAAGGCTCCAGTGGCAGGGTTCAGATGCGTACTGGATCCATGTCGGCACAACCCTCACACGTTTCGTGACACCAAAGGGAGCTCAACCGAAGGCTCCAGCGGCAGGGTTCGCATGCATACCCGGTCCATTTCGGCACACCCCTCACACGTTGGGTGACCCCATAGGGAGCTCCACCGAAAGCTGAAGTGGCAAAGTTCGCATACGTACCTGGGTAATGTCGGCACGCCCCTCACACGTTTCGTGGCCCCATTGGGACCTCTACCAAAGGCCCCAGTGGCAGGGTTCGCATGCGTACCCAGGTCCATCTCGGCACACCCCTCACACGTTTCGTGGCACCATAGGGAGCTCCACAGAAGGCTCCAGTGGCAGGGTTCGCATGCGTACCGGGGTCCATTTCGGCACACCCCTCACACGTTTAGTGGCCCCATAGGGCGCTCCACCGAAAGCTGTAGTGGCAAGCCTCGCATGCGTACCCGGGTCCATCTCGGCACAACACTCACACGTCTCGTGGCCTTATTGGGAGCTCCACCGAATGTCCCAGTGGCAGGGTTCGCATGCGTACCCCAGTGCATCTCGGCACACCCCTCACACGCTTCGTGGCACCATAGGGAGCTCCACCGAGATCCTTCAGTGCGTTCGTGCGCATTGAGCGTTCCTGCGACTTGTGGCCATTCGTGTACCATGGTTTGGGTTCTTCGCCAGGGTAAGTGGTGAAACCATAGAGACACCCTCGAAACCCAAGACACCCAGGGCACCCTGGAGGCAAGCAGGGTGCTTCTTGGCATGGGCCTCCACTGCATCGGGCACCGCGGCCTTCTCGAAGCGCTCGGGAACGCTCTGAGAGCGTCCCAGAACGCTCTGCCTCCTCCTCCTCCCTCCTCCTCCCTCCTCCTCCTCCTCCTTCCTCCTCCCTCCTCCTCCCTCCTCCTCCTCCTCCTTCCTCCTCCTCCTCCTCCTCCTCCTCCTCCTTGCACATCTTCGGCGCCGAGAGGGCGGGACCCCGCTCCTCGCCCCAGGGCGGGGGGATCTCCTGCGGCCGTCCGCTCGAGGGCGGCCGCCGAGAGTGGGACCGCCGTCTCCGCTCCCTGCCCGCCTCCTCGACGGAGCAGCTCGGGGGGCCTCGCTTCCGCTCGGCGTAGGTCGCGCGACCCCGGTGGTTCGCTGGGCCCTGCGGCCCTGTTGGGCGTCCTGGCCGCGTGCTGGGCGCCCACATGGCGCGTGCTGGAGCTCGGGGGCTCCAGGGCGCGTCATGCCATGGTGGGCGCAGGGCGGGATGGTGGTCATGCCATGGTGGGCGCGCGCCCTGCGCCCACAGGGTGGGCGCAGGGCGCATGGATCATGCCTGCGGGGTGCGGGCGTGGGCCCATCAGGGGCAGTGTCGACGGGGTGCAGAACGTTGCGCTGGACTGCACGTTGCGGTGTTGGTGCCGTGTTAGGTGCAGCCCGTTTCCTGCGCAACCCACAGTACGGAGGCGCTGTGCGGGACGCAGCTGCGGGCGAGGTGTTCCTCCTGACGCTTGTCAGGGTGCGCTGGATCATCGTCACCATCAGTAGCAATGTTGTCATTGTTACTCGTAATCGCAGTCTCTTCCTCCTCCTCCACCTTCCACTCTCCTCCTTCAGGGCCCCGTAGAAGGGGACTTTGGTAAACTTGGCACGCCCGAGAAAACTGCAGTCGCGGCGAAGCATTATCCATTCTTCGTTCTCTTCCACTGGATCTGGAAAAATTCTGATTTGCAAAGTCCTAGTTTCCGGGGCTCTGGCTCCTCCTCTGGCGACGACGGCAGGCAAGAAAGTGAGAGAGAGAGAGAGGGAGAGAGGGAGAGAGAAACATAGCCAGAGCCAGCAAGCAGCAGAACCCTCCGGTAGTCTGCTGCTGATTGACACGGAACAGGCCACGGCATGGCTCACATGGACCAGAGCCTAGCATAGACGATTCTCGGCAAAACTCACAATGCACTGTGCGCGTGCTATTTCCACCCAACCGTTAACTAGCAGCTCTGTCTTGGATTTTGTCCTTGGGCTCTCGTAGTCTGCGCTGCAATGCCTGCCGGTCCTCACTTCATGGAGCAGGGATCCAACAAGGGATCGAGTGGCCGAGATAACACATTGCTGATCGACTCCTCGGGGATGCACTGACCCGGGTCAATCCAAACCTGGGTCAGTTGAGCTTTGCGGGATCCTTCAAGTTCCTGCAGGCTCCTGCAGGATCCTGCGCTCTAGTCCGGGTCAGTGCAGCCCTGGCTGTTCGGGATCCTGCAAGGTCCAGCGCTCTGGCTGACCCCCGCTGGCATTGACCCCCGTCTCAAGGCTCCCGACCTCCCTCCTTCCTCGAGCATTCGGCGCCAGCTGGAGGGCAGGAAGGTACTGGAGAAACTAAAAAGGTACCGACACCGGACCTCTCCAAGGGTGCGTTCTAACCAGAATGGCGCGGCGAATTCAGCGGAGGCGACGAGGGCGTCCGCGGAGGCCCCCCAAAAAGGGGCCAACGAGGCCAGGGTAGCGGTATGGGTCCTCCTCCGACCTCCTCCTCCTCCTCCTCCTCCTCCTCCTCCTCCTCCTCCTTCTCCTCCTCCCTCCTCCCTCCTCCCTCCTCCCTCCTCCCTCCTCCCTCCTCCTCCTCCTCCTCCTCCTCCTCCTCCTCCTCCTCCTCCTCGAGGCAGGGGAGCCCAGAATCGCATGGACCAGTCGGGTCGGCGATCGAAGCGATTCGGATCGACGGGAATCGGCAGCCGAGTCGGGAGAAAAGTCGCATCGGCGGAGGGCGGCAGGCGCGTGGGCCTCCGCTGAGACATCGGAGCCCCGCTCGGAGCCCCGAAGTCGGATCGGGTCGGAAGGCCAGCGGAATCGGATCGACTCGAGCCGGAGGGGTCGGAGTGGTGCCTGGCTGGTCCCTGGCTGGTCCCTCGCCCCTCCCTGCTCCCTCCTCCCTGCTCCCTCCTCCCTGCAGTCCTCCTCCTCCTCCTCCTCCTCCTCCTCCTCGTCCTCCTCCTCCTCCTCCTCCTCCTCCTCCTCCTCCTCCTCCTCCTCCTCCTCCTCCTCCTCCCCCCCCCTCCAGGAAAAAACCTTCGTCCTGGCACCCCACAACAAACACATTGTCGTGGTCGGCCCTGCTCCTGCCCCCCTCCCTCCCCCACTCACGAGCAGTCGGGGAGGGCCCTCCTGGTCCCTGTCGTCCCGCGCCCCCTCGCGGGTCTCCACGCCCCAGTAGTGGGAGGCGAGCACCACGGGCTGGCCGCATGCGCGCTCCCGCGCGTCCAGCGGCGGCCAGCGGCGGAGGGGAGGGGATGGGGTGGGAGGGAGGGAGGGGCCACTGCAGCAGGACTGGGGCTGTGCGCGCGTGGAGATCGGCTGCTGGGGGCTCCTCCTTCTCCTCCTCCTCCTCCTCCTCCTCCTCCTCCTCCTCCTCCTCCTCCTCCCCTCCCCCCCTCCCCCTCCTCTGATGCACTGATGCACTCGACAGTCCAAAGCTCATGCGAAGCACAAGAATGAGCAAACAGATACAAAGAGGAAACTGAAGAAGGGAAGAAGGAACGCCGAGGGGGGAAAGGCAAGAGGGGAACAAAGAGATTGGTGCATCCGAACTTCCCTGCCCCTCGGTGAACCCATCGAGGGCGATATGGGCGACAAGTGACTGCGAGCGCCTTGTCGGCACGTCGTCTTGGGCTTCACTGGGGCTTCTACAGGGCCATTCTCGGATTATCCTGAAGCCTCAGCGGCCTCTCGGGAGCGAAAAGGCGAGACCCTCAGACATGTGTGGTTTTCCTCAGGTTTGTGAATGGTTTGGGCATCCTGATCCTGAGGGCCTCTTGGAAGCCACGTGGACACCTCCAGGGGCCGTCTTGAGGCTATCTTGAGCTGTCTGGGACCGTCTGGAGGCTAGCTGGGTCCGTCTTGGCGGGCTCGGGAATATTTTCGAAGCTATCTTCGGCCGTCTCGGAGCAAGCTTTTTGTTGACTGTTCTTCGCAACCAATGAAAACAAAACTCCAAGGGTCCTCCAGGGGGTCCTGAAGATCCTCCTCCGCCTTGTCCTCTTCCTGACTGTTCCTCCTCCTCATGTTCATCCTCCTCGTCCTCCTCGTCCCCCTGGTCCTCCTCCTTCTTCTCATACTCCTCCTCCGCCTCGCCCGCCTGACCCTCATCCTACTACTCCCTTCTCCTCCTCCTTCACCTCCAGATTGTCCTCCTTCTTCCTTTTCTTAGATTCCTCCTCCTCCTCCTCCTCCTCCTCCTCCGCCTCCTCCTCATTGCTTTTCTCCTCGTTCTTCTCGGTCTCCAGCTGCTCAAACCTCCTCCTCCTCGTTCTTCTCCTCCTGCTCCTCCTCCAACCTCCGCGTGCCGCCTCCTCCTCCACTTCCTGCTCCCCCCACCTCCTCCTCCTCTGCCCCCTACTCTCCCCCTCCTCCTCCTCCTCCTCCTGTTTTCCTCATCCTCCTCCTCGTCGTCCTTGCTGTCCTCTTCCTTCCTTTACTCCTCCCGTTCCAACTCTTCATCCTCTTCCCTCCTCCTCCTCCTCCTCCTCCTCCTCCTCCCTCCTCCTCCTCTCCTCCTTTTCCTCCTCTTCCTTCTCCTCCTCCTCCTTCTCCTCCTCCTCCCCCTCTATCTCAACCAGAGAACCCCCAAAAGGCTCCCAAAGAAGCCCCCAGAAACCTCCAGAGAAGCCCCGAAAAGCGTCCAGAGAAGCCCCTGGCGGAATCCCGAAACGTTTCAATCGGCCAGAAGAGAAGCCCCAAGAGGTCCGAGAACTCCCAAGAGGCCAGGATTCCCAAGAGGCCTCCAGAACTCTCCAGGAACTCCTAGGGGCCTCCAGGATCACCAATCTGGGGCACAGAACCAGCAACCCAGCAACCCCCCAGTAGGGCCGAAGGCCCCTCCTGGGGGGTTGCTGGTTGCTTGGGGGGGGGGGGGGGGCGGGGCTCTGCGCCCGTCCCTCTTCTTCTTATGTTTCTTATTATTAATATCCTTCTTCTCCGTCTTCAACAACAGCAACAGCAACAACAACACCAACAACAACAACATCAGCAACAACAGCAACAACAACAACAGCAGCAACAACACCAACAACAACACCACCAACAACAATCACATCAACAGCAACAGCAACAGCAACAGCAACAACAACAACAACAACAACAACAACACCAACAACATCAACAGCAACAACAACAACAACAACACCAACACCACCAACAACAACAACAATAACAACCAACACCAACAACAACAACGACAACGACAACAACAACAACAACAACAACAACAACAACGACCACAACAACAATCAATAGAATACTGTTCGCTCTTATCTGCTCGAGTGTCCGTTAAGGCGTATTTCCCAAACCTTCGATACCCGACCTCTTCGTCTTCGATCGCACCCCTTTCGGGGGGTAAACCTTTCTTCCCTGCAGGCTGGGCCCCGGCAAGCGGCGGGGCGACCGCGGACCGTGGGCCTGGCCAGCGGCAGCGCTGATCGGCGGCAACCCGATCCCAAGAGGGACGGACAGGGGACCGACCACGACGGCGACGTCGACGACGACGACGTCGACGACGACGACGGCGACGACGAGCGAGAGCGAGAGCGAGAGAGAGAGAGAGAGAACGACAGCGGGGCCACCAAGGTCACGAAGTAGGCCACGAAGGGCGACAGCGGGGACACGAAGGGAATGCGTATGGGACCACGAAGAGCGCGAACGAGCGGGGGCCACGAAGGGCAGATAATGCGGGGCCACAGAAGGCAACGACGAGGCGACTGAGGGTAGCAACTGGGCCACGTAGGACAGCGAGGGGACCACGAAGAGCGACAACGGGGCCACGAAGGGCATGCCTATGGGGCCACGACGGGCGCAAACGAGCGGGGGCCACGAAGGGCATACATATGTGGGGCCACGAAGGGCAGCGAGGGGGCCACGAAGGGCTGCAACGGGGCCACGAAGAGCGACGACAGGGCCACGAAGGGCTGCAACGGGGCCACGAAGGGCAGCGAGGGGGCCAAGAAGGGCTGCAATGTGGCCACGAAGGGCAGCGAGGGGAACACGAAGGGCTGCAACGGGGCCACGAAGGGCAGCGAGGGGGCCACGAAGGGCTGCAACGGGGCCACGAAGGGCAGCGAGGGGGCCACGAAGAGCTGCAACCGGGCCGCGAAGGGCAGCGAGGGGGCCACGAAGGGTTGCAACGGGGCCACAAAGGGCAGCGAGGGGGTGACGAAAGGCTGCAACGGGGCCACGAAGGGCAGCGAGGGGGCCACGACGGGCTGCAACGGGGCCACCAAGGGCAGCGAGGGGGCCGCGAAGGGCTGCAACCACGAAGGGCAGCGAGGGGACCGCGAAGGGCTGCAATGTGGCCACGAAGGGCAGCGAGGGGGCCACGAAGGCCTGCAACGGGGCCACAAAAGGCAGCGAGGGAGCCACGAAGGGCTGCAACGGGGCAGCGAAATCACGTTTCCGAAATAATCTGCGAGGGAGTCCTAAGCGTGAGCGCGACTCCTAAGTGCCTGAGTGTCGGGAGAGCGGCGCTTGAACAAATTCTGGGAAATTCCACCGCAATGGCGCTATTCTTAGGTAAAGTGCAAGCAAGTCTCCAGCGAGAGCGCGACTCCAGAGCGCCGAGAGAACGATTCCTAAATCAATTGTCAAGAAGTCCTAGGCGAGAGCGCGATTCCGAAACAAAATTTGAGGAAACCTCAGGCGGGAACGGGGGTCCTGGCTAAATTGTGAGGAAGTCTCGGGCGGGAGCAGTTGTTGCTGTAACCCGGGGGCCGGGGGCACAGTTTGAGCACCAAGACTTTCCCTGTCAAAAAACAGGGTGCGAACGTCGAGGGGCGCACTTTGATTGGTGAGGGGGGACCAACACTAATCATTCTTCACAAATGAGAAAGAATTCAACAACAACAACAACAACAACAACAACAACAACAACAACAACAACAACAACAACAACAATTACTAGCACGTGGGGACACTCCGTTCTCACCAGTGCCAGGGTTTTCATAGGAGGCGGGCAATACCCCCACTTTGTGGGGGGGCCGGTTCAAGCTCTACCAAATTTCCAAACGACTCTTCGCCACCACCCACACCCAGCTTCCCGCCCTATGACGTTCGGACACTTCACTTCGTGGCATGCGGACGACCGTGGCTACTATTCAGGGCCCCGCGGCCGACGACGACGGCGTGCGCGCGCGAAGAAAAAACGAATGTGTCCCGCATGGTATTATTTGACAGGGATGATGGCCCTGGCAGGTGCGCAACCGTTGTTGCAGAAGTTCGAAAAAGTTGCTCGCAAAAGCCCGTTTGACAGAAATGTTTAAAAAGTGTTGGGTTTCCTACGAATCCGCAAGAGCGCGCGGGATGAAATTTTGACATTTTTTTGTTGAAAAACCATTGGTTTTTTGATGTTTTTATGTTAAAATCGCTACGAAAACTAAGGTTTTGGAAGGATTTCGTCTTGCGCGCGCGAATGTCCACTTTACCTTATTTTTTGCAAGGGATTCTTGAAGTTTGGTTATGTTAGAACAAGAAATGTCCACTTTAGCTTATTTTTTGCAAGGGAAAACCGATCGTAACAACACAACCGGATCCGGACCAACCCGTTTTGCCTGAGACTTCCTCACGAAAATGATGAAAATGAGGCTGCGGCCTAGGCGCGGCGGGGGGGTCGTGCACCAGGGGTCCCAACAATAATTATTCTTTAGAAGTAATAATGTTCAACAACAACAACAACAACAACAACAACAACAACAACAACAAAAACAACCTGCTGGTGTACCCGGAGCCGGTCCACCAGTTCGCTGTTTTGCTCCATGTAGCGAAACAACCCACTGGTGTACCAGGACCCCCCCCCCCCCCCCACCCCCCCGCAACGCAACGCAACGCAACGCAACACGGCTGTATGAGCAGCCTCTGTTGCGTTGTGTTCCGTTGCGCGGGCAGGTGGGGGGTGTGTGACCCTACGGGAGCTCCCACTGTATGGGATCCCCTACGGATCCTATACGGACTGTATAGGATCCCATACGGATCCTATACGGACTGGGATCCCATACGGATCCTATACACTGTATGGGATCCTACGGATCCTAGACGGACTGTATGGGATCCCATACGGATCCTATACGGCCTGTATGATCCATACGGATCCTATATATACGGATCCTATACGGCCTGTATGGGATCCCATACGGATCCTATACGGACTGTATGGGATCCCATACGGATCCTATACGGACTGTATGGGATCCCCTACGGATCCTATA